TTGGGCTCTTCCACACACTCTGGGGTCCAAGAATAAACCCTTCTCTCTGCTGACATTGGCCTGAGTGGCTTTGGTTAATTGCTAACAAAGAGCCCTTGCCAGGCAAACACCCCCTAGCGCTGCTCCAAAGAAGCACCTGTCCTGGAAGCCTCGCGCCCTTGAGCCTGAGACATCAACCCCTTATCTGCTGCTCCCTCGGTCCCTAGTACTTGTCCCAGCCAACCTCACCCCAGCGAAGGGATCGCCGTGGGCTTGTGAAAGCCGCCTGCTCCACCAGCTCCTCGTTTCTTGTCTGTCCCTATACCTGCAACAAGTGTTGCCCTTCCTTGTTGCCAAGCGTGGCTTTCTATTTCTAGTCCCTTTCTCTTCCCGCTATTCCTGCTTTCTTCCTTCTCTGCTTCTCTCCAGCGGTAATCCAAACCTTCTTAAATGCATGGGCCACCACCTCCCCTCTCCCTGTCCAGTGACCTCCGCTCCGCTTCATTAGAGTAATGGGCTGTCTAGCCCTGGCGGCAGAAGCGCAGTCGGGATCCAGGTCTCGCTTTCTGCAACCAGGATTTACTTGGAGGACTTTCCTAGCCACACCTCCCATTCCCACTGGCCCTGGGGAGAGCACGTGACACAACTCTGGCCAATAGAGGGCTGCCTGCTGCGTGTAGCCGGGAAAGTTTCTCGGAGCTGCTAAGGGCTGCCAGTGACCCCAGTTGGGCATAGCGGAGACGGGGAGACAACCATCTTTCCATCTTCTGCCTCCTTCTGGTCGCCAAGCTGGCTTGCTCCATCCCCCTCCCTGGACTCCTCCAGCCCTGTTATTCCCTAAATAGGTGATCTTGAGCATATTTCTCTTCTTCGGTTTCTTCATTTATAAAATGAACAAAGTAACTGCCTCTCAGGACAGTGGGTGGAGTGAGAAATGAGATAATGTGTATGGCATGCTTAGCACTTGCTAGGTTAGGGCAACAGACTCTTGCCTCCTATGCCACCGAATTACCTGGGATACCTTAGGCTGGTTGCTCAAGCTCTGCCTTCTTCTTCATTTGTAAAGTGGGGATCACAGTCTAATCTTATAAACATGTAGAGGATTACATGAGTTAATTTCTGTAAACTGAGAATAGTACAGGGCCCACACTGGTTAGGTAACTGGCAGTTTCACAGCCATTACCATCAGTGCTGTATGAACCTTTCTGTCCACCTCCTGGGCACAAACCTAATAGTGAAATTACAGGGCTCTCAGGCAAGTACATGATCAGCTATATTCCAGAAGGCCAAAGTTGTTTCCAGATTGATTAGACTCATTTACCATGCCCTAGGAGTGAGCAAGACTTCCTGTTACTTCTCATTCTTCCCAATTGAATGGTGTAAAATGGTTTCTTATGCCTTTCCTTGATCACTAATGAGATCAAGCCATCAGTATTTTCACAAGAGGGGATGGGACACTGCCCCCTTTCTTCAAGTCTTCCTTCTGCTTTTGTCTTAGAATTATTATTTATTTTTTGGAGTTTTTGCCCAGGGCAGGGTTTGAACCCGCCACCTCTGGTATATGGGGTCAGTGCCCTACTCCTTTGAGCCACAGGCACTGCCCCCTTGTCTTAGAATTATTAAGCAGTGATTCACACCTATTAATCCTAGCACTCTGGGAAACTGAGGAAGAAGGGTCCCTTCAAGTCTGAAATGCAAGACCAGACTGAGCAAGAGGGAAACCTCATCTCTACTAAAAATAGAAAAAATTAGCTGGACATGGTGGTACTACTGGGAGGGCTGAGACGAGAGGATCACTTGAGCCCAAGAGTTTGAGGTTGTCATGATGATGCCAATACACTCTAACCTGGGTGGCAAGACACTTGGGGGCGGGGGGTGGGAGGAGATAAGCAGGCCAGACACAGTGGCTCATACCTATAATCCTAGCTCTTTGGGAGCCTGAGGCATGAGAATTACTTGAGCCCAAGACTTCAAGACCAGCCTGGACAACATAGCAAGACCCTGTCTCTACAAGAAACAAAATTAGGCAGCGCCCATATCTCACAAAGAGCCCTTGCCAGCAAACACTTCCCAGCGCCAGTCACGTATACCTAGGCTGGCAGGTATTGAACCTGGTCCAGGCCAGCTCAACGACAACTGCAACAAAAAAATAGCTGGGCATTGTGGTAGGTGTCTATAGTCTCAGCTACTTGGGAGGCTGAGGCAAGAGAATCACTTAAGCCCAAGAGTTTGAGGTTGCTGGGAGCTGTGACGCCACGGCTCTACCCAGGGTGACAAAGTGAGACTGTTTCAAAAATAAAAGGAAATAAAGAGTCCCAGTCATGCTATATTCTAAAGCAGTGGTCCCCAGCCTTTTTGGCACCAGAAATCAGTTTCATGAAAGACAATTTTTCCACAGACAAGGTGTGGGGGTTCTGACAGGTGGTGAAGCTCAGGCAGTGATGCAAGTGAAGGGGAGTAGCTGTGAATACAGATGAAGCTGTGCTCATCCTCCTGCTGTGCAGCCTGGGAGTTGAGGACAACAGTTTCACTTGCCTAGGCTAGAGAGATCCTCTTGTCTCAGCGCCCACCATCTTGCCTAATTTTTCTATTTTTAGTAGACTTGGGGCCTCACTCTTGCTCAGGTTGGTCTTGAACTCCTGAGCTCAAGGGAGCCTCCCCATCTTGGTCTCCCAGAGGGCAAGGATTACCATGCTTGTTTGGGGACTGCAGTTTTAAAGACTGATCTCTGACTGGACAACTATGTCTCTCCTCCCTTAAGTGTCTGACCCAACAGAACCCCAATAAAGGCTTGCTACACCAAGGAGGCAATCCTCTGGCCCTGTGCCTGCCAGGACATTGATGTGATACCACTAGAGTCAGTTTTGGTGAACCACAAAATGCCAGAGTACTTTCCTAATACAGAAGATAACCTGAGAGTAAGAGCTTTGTAGAAAGGAAGGATAAGTGATGAAAGAGAGAAGGTTCAAGAAAGGCACAAGTTCACTAGACTTTTTACTCTGAAGAACTTTGCTTCTCCCCTATTACTATCCTGTGTAAGGGTCATTCAAAGCAACCAAGAGAGAACTGCTGTGTGAAGAGGTAGAGGTTTATTGAAATATAAACATTCGAAAACATGTAAGATAGAAAGTAACCACAACATATACAGACACTTGCTGCAAGAGGACATCTGAGGTATTTATTCTCTGCCTAGGCTACCCATGTGCTATCACATTTTTCCTGGTTACAATACATATAAGATGGGAAAGGGGAGGGGACAGAGCTGCCCTGGCTAACTGCTGACCAAATGGCCTTCAGGACTGCATTTGCAGGGGAAGCTTTGCTTGGGCTAGGGCCCCACTATTGAGGGGACCTGCTGGCACCCCAATCTTGGGCTTTCTGGCTGAGACCCTCCTGTTGTCCTTTAGGTAGAGATGGGGCCTCACTCTAGCTCAGGTTGGTCTTGAGGGTTTGCTCAGAGGGTGAGTTTGGGTGAGCTGCCTGGGGAAAGGAAGAGACCAGAAAGACACAGTATGCCGTACCTGTGTCCTCTGGGTGGGAGAGTCCATCCTTTGTGACCAAACCCCTGAGAAAGACACACTGGCCAAATGTCTGAGACACTTTCAAGTGGGCCCAGTGCCAGCCAACTGGGGTCCTCACTGGCACCAGATCCAACTGCCTTTCTCTGCTACACCCTGCACTTGCCCAGCAGGCAAGGCTTCTGAGACCAGAGGAGGGTCAGCTCCCAGTGAACAAGGCTGGATGTGTGTGTGAGAGAGAGAGAGTATGGAAGGCTAGGGGAGGGAGAGAGAAGATGCAGTTCAGCAGAGCTGCAGCTTAGCAAGTTGAGGTATCTGTTTTGTGCTCAAGCTTTTGCTTTTCCTTTCCTTTCTGACAGGACTGAATGCTAGCTGTATCGCGCCATGGATGCCTCATGCTACATGTGGTGTCTCCCACCACCGCAGCCTGATGACATCACAGTGGTGGTGTTCTACTGAACACTTCAAGGCTTACTTGGATGAAGTGAGCCTTGAGCAAGAACCCCAGGAGCAATCTGCTCTGCCCCAGGTTCAAGAGGAGAAGCTCTCTCAGCATCGCCACATTCCCTGGGGTAGCTCAGGTTTAAGAGTCAGTCTGACAAAACCTGCAAGGCCCATGGCCTCCTTGGCCTGCCTGCTCACGTCCTGAGCTGGGAATGCTGGGTTAAGGGGAGATGTCCTGCCCCCACCCTGGTCAAGTGGGGTGGGGGTGTGTGGCAGGAAATGGGTCAAGGACCCTCTTCTGAACTGGTGCCGTTTTAGGGCCGACCGGCGTAAGTGGGTCTCTCCATTCACCTCCCCTGCCACTGAGATCCCTGAGTCGTCTCCCCTGCCCACCTCCCCTGCCTATGTGCCGGGGTTCTAGGGAAGGGCCAGAGGGGATACCAAATCACTTGCTTGGCTTTGGGGGTGATCTGTTTTCATTTCTTTGGTGCTATAACAACAACAATAAAAATCTTAAAATAAAAACAAGTCAGCAAAACATATATAAAAAAGATTTCAGAGATGCAAACACTTCCTGAAGAATCAAACATTAACAATTATAAATCTGAGGTATTTCAATGAACCTGACATCAGCACATTGGGGATGACAGGGCTGAGATGGCCCCATGAAAGGGGCAGGGAGCAAGGGGCAAGTGGGCTGTTCTTAGGAGAGCTGGCCACCAAGGCAATTGGGGAACATGAGGTGTGGGGGTGTGGGTCAGAAAAGGGGCCATGTGGAGTGAGTGCCAGGGCCTGGGCAGCCTAGAGGCTCTGCCTCCTCCTCAGCAGATGCCCAGTGGGCCCTGAAGACTGCCCTCACGTGTTCTTTTTTTTTTTTTGAGAGAGAGAATTTCACTATGTCGCCCTCAGTAGAGTGCTGTGGCGTCACAGCTCACAGCAACCTCCAACTCTTGGGCTTAAGCGATTCTCTTCCCTCAGCTTCCCAAGTAACTGGGACTATAGACGCCTGCCACAACACCCGGCTATTTTTTTGTTGCAGTTGTTTTAGTTGGCCCAGGCCGGTTCAAACTCGCCACCCTCAGTGTATATGTGCTCATTCTTGGGACCATTAAAAGGGAATGAGGACTGATTCTACACCTGAACTTGAGGTACCCACACCCCAGAAACCAAACAATAGGCAAGGTGGGCTGGGAGGGCCCCATCCCATGCTCAGCAGAGAAGGGCCATGAAGGTCCTAACAGCCCCACATGGGACTTAAAAAGTAGGGCACTGAGCAGGGGAAGAGACTAGTGACTTTGGAGTCATGGCAGAAGGCAGGGGAAGGGAAATAAATTAAAGGGGAAGGGAAAGGAGGGCCTCCAGCCCTGTGTCGGCTTACAGATTGTCGATACACTGTGCCCCAAGATGGGAGGTGGCCGGGGAACCCTGGAGGAAAGCTGGACACCCACATACACCACCCAGTTCTCCAGGACAATCCCTGATTGGACAACGCTGCCCTGTCCTGCCCCTCCAGCTCTCTCTGCTTCCAGAGTACAGCAGGACCTAGACAGACAGACACGCCCAAACTCTCAATGTCTGGCCAGATGGTGTTCAACGTGGGGTCCATGAGATGAGGTAAATTCTGTGCATCAACTTCCTTCACTCTCAGCAGGAGAGTGGGGAGTAGAAAGCTGGGTCCTGCCTGTCAGAGGGACCAGCTGGTGGAGGGCTCTGTGCTGGGGGTGCCTCGGGATGAGGTAGGACTAGGTGAGCAGTGAGAGCTGCTGCTGCTGCTGGCGCTGCTTCCGAGGCTCTGAGGAGCAGACCCGGCGATGAGGTGGACTACAGGTTTCTGGGCAAACAGCACACCTGGGTGGGGGAGGAGAAGCAAGAGTGGGCAGTGGAGGAAGAGAAGGGGTGGCCAGCCCACTTCAACCAGTATGGACTGCTGGTCTAGCCCCACACATGGCTCTGTGGCACTGTGTAGGGGCTGGCAGAAGTTCCCAACGCTGTTCTGCCTTCGGGTGCTTTTGAACTGGCTAAGGGGAGACAGACAGGTTGACAGAGTAATTTTGTAGAAATATAATAAATGCTCTGAGACAGGTGTACCCAAGGTGTTGTGGGAATACAAAGAGTGTTCTGGAGAACAGGGGAGGGCTGGTCAGGAAAGGCTCCAGGGGGAGAGTATGTCTGGGCTATAAGAAGAAAGAAAAGTGGCCAAATGAGGAAGGGAGTTGATGGCAAGGGCTATAGCCGGGCCTCGTGTGCCTCTTAGAAAGTGCAGGTGTTACCTGGAGGGGTAGTGGGGGCCCTGCAAGTTCTAAGCAGGAGAAGGACATCAGTCCTGCAGTTTAGAACACTCTCTTCATAGGGTGGGATAAATGTGGAAACAGGGAGGGGAAGAAGGGACTGCTCTAACAACGGCGGTAAGGATGGGCAGGAGAGCAAGTTGTGTGGAGAGGTTAGCTTGCGGAGGGTAAGATGGAAGAAGGGCTCTCAGGAACACATCCCTCCACGATCCTGGCCAGGGCAACTGCACTCCCACAGAGAGAGAACCCAGGGTGTCAGGCAGACACTTCTAAATGTGGCCTCTGGAGCGCCAACCTGGCATTGCTGCTTCTCTGCACCCTGTCTTCTCCCTGATGCCCATGGCAGGTTGCCCAGCAGAGATCCAGGGCACGAGGGGGTCCCCTGTAAGGCCTATAGGATGGTATTCTGAGGCAATGTAGCCCTTGGAATGGGAGCAGGCCCTCAAAAAACACACCAGCTGTGGTGTAAAGTGCAGCTGCAGGCTCTCAACACCCCCACGGGATAGGATGGCCCAGGCCCCCACTCACCAAGCTGTGCTTAACAACAGCCAGTTGAGTTGTTCTAAAGTTCCTCCTGAACCAATGAAATGGGAGTGGGACAAGGACCCACATTTCTATGAATGCCATGGAAAGTCTTGGAAAAGATGCTGAACTGATCACCAACAAAAAAACTCTTGCCAATCTGGGTGTGGTGGCTCATGCCTGTAATCCTAGCACTTTGCTGAGCCTGAGGCAGGTGGATTGCCTGAGCTCACGGGTTTAAGACCAACCTAAACAAGAGGTGGTGACCTTCTAACTCCCTAAAAATAGCCAGGCATTGTGGCTGGTGCCTGTAGTCCCAGCTACTTGGGAGGTTGAGGCAAGAGAATCACTTGAGCCCAGGAGTCTGAGTTGGCTGTGAGCTGTGACACCAGAGCACTCTACCAAGGGCAACAAAGCCAGACTCTGTCTTTAAAAAAAAAAAAAAAAGCTTTTGGCAAATTAGGTCTAGAGAGAGAGGCTAGAGGCTATGAACTATGAAAGGCTGAAAGGCTAGAGGTACAAAATCGTAGAAATGTAGGCTGATTCTTCTGCACGTAGATTCCTTGGCCCGTATCTCAAATCCTTGGTCCATTGTAAAGAAAGATAATAACAGATAATGTCATATAAGTGTTTTACAAAAGGAAGGGAACAGTGGAACCACAGTCAGAGGAAGGAGACCTATGCATTAGAAGACCAGGAATGGAGGACACCAACTGGCTTTTTCAACCAGTGAACCATCTACTGGTGTAAAAGGATTAGGAGGAGGGGTTCTGTCACTGAGGAGGACCTGTAATGCTGTTAACGATCTGCCGCCTGTACTAGTCCAGGACCACTTTACCTTTGGAACACCAAGACTTGGTATGCACCCTAGGAGGTGTTCAGAGACAAGGGCAACAGGTAGGGCTAGCCAGGGACTACTCCTGTGGCTGGCGGTCACTGTGTGGGCCTCCCCTGCAAGCTCTAGGGCCTCACCTGCGTAAGTGGTGCCGTCGATGTCCACAGACATGTTAATGCTCCCAATGCTGCTCGTGGTCAGGTTCAATGCTGCAGCTGTGGCCTCTGCTCTGTCTTCTGCTTGGGAACAAGAGACAGTAGCTTGGTCAAGCTTTCCATAGCATTCCTGTTCTCATTGATAGGGCCTCTTCAGTCTAGGCCTCACACTGTTAGAAAGCACCTGTGTAACCTCTTGAGCACACATACACTCTGGCAGTAGAACCTGAGCTTGCCCACCTCCTGTTGCTGGCTTCCTACTCTGAACCAGTTAATTTCCCTCACTCCTACTCTCAGAGAAAAGGAGGCTAAGCCAGGTGGTGCCTGTGGCTCAGTGGGTAAGGCACCAGCCCCATATACCAAGGGTGGCGGGTTCAAACCCAGCCCAGGCCAAACTGCAACAAAAAATTAGCTGGGCATTGTGGCAGGCAGACGTCTATAGTCCCAACTACCCGGGAGGCTGAGGCAAGAGAATCACCTAAGCTCAGGAGTTGTAGGTTGCTGTAAGCTGTGACACCACAACACTCTACTGAAGGTAATAAAGTGAGATTAGGCTCAGGTAATCAGAGATCAACAAGATCCACCCCCAACTTGAGGACTCACCTTGACCCCCTTCCCCTTGACTCTTGAGTCTCTCAAGTAGAGAGGTCAACATCCTGAGCACCTGGCCCTCTGTGCCCACCTGGGCAGCTGGTGCTGGCACACAGGGTCTCTGCCTCTTACCACACAGAGAGGCTAGAATGCATTCTTCCAAGTGAGCTGCCCTTTCATCCAGCCCCTTGCTCTGAGGGTGGTGACCTCCTAGCTCCCTTCCACTCCTCAGGGCTGCCTCGGAACATGCACCAACTCCCTTCCTACATGTGCTTATTTAGGTTTGCTCTGAAGCTGAGTCAAGGGCAGGAAAGGCAAAAAGAACGTGAAGGTGAAAAGGGAGAGGAGGAACGAGGGAAACAGTGTGTGGCTTGCAAAAGAGAAGGTGGAGAGAATTGCAGAGGAGGTGGAAAAGATGTTGGTTAATGCTGCCAAACTTGCATTTCTTCCTTCCCTCTCATGTTCCTGAAGGTCACTGGTGGCCTAGTCAGTGACCTGTCCAGCCCAAGGTAACCCTGGCCCCTTGCAGAGCCTCAGGAGTGACAGTGCTGTCCTCCTTCTAGGCCTGCCCACAGTGCCCTGCTCTGCATACATCTGGTGAAGCACTGAGGTGAAGGTTGAGCCCTTTCACAGATCAAAAGGCTGGTGGGAGAGAAAAGCACCAGCAGCTGTCTCTGGAGGGTTCTGGCTCCTCCTCCTTGAGCAACTGCTTTTTCTTCTTGCTAGAGAATATGGCACTGCTTAAGGCAATCTGCGGTTCCCTAGAAAACCACCTCAGCTTGGAGAACCGAGATCTCAGTGGCCCCAGAAACCCCATGCCACTCTCTTCTGGCCTCTAGATCCTTCTGGGGGCCTTGAAGCCAGAACCTAGAGGGACCCTTTCCAGGTTACGGGTGTGACCTCACACTGTCCCAGGAGGTGAATGTGAATGGGCCTCCAAAAGAGCCAGTGCTTGGCCCTGTCAGAAGGGAGGAGCCCTCCCTGTGTCTGGCTCACCCCTGCCGTTGATCCTGATCTTCATGGGCAGCTGCCGTGCCATGCTGAAGAAGTTGCGCTGGAAAGCCTGCTGGACCAAGCGCTGCTCCTCCTCGGACAATCTTGATGCCTTCTTCTCAGGAGGCTCCCCTGCCTCCAGCCGTTCCCGCAGCTGCTCCAATGTGGCAGTCCGGGTACTGGCCTGCTGGCCTGACAAGGTCACAGGCACAGCCAAGCGATTTGGCATAGGCACTGTTGCCATGGGGACTCCATCACCTGCAAAGGAACTGAAGCTAGACCAATCCACAGTCAACCCTCTCACCCAAAAACTCCAATCCTGGACACAGGGCTTCTTTCTTCCCTTCCTCCCCCAAGGACCCTGCTGACCTTTCCTGAGAGTGGTTGCTGGGGGTATCCGAGGGCTGCTAGTATTGGTGCCACTGCTTGAGCCAAGCCCAAGGATGGGGAAGCGGATTTTGGGTGGGGAGAGGAGTGGGGGAGCCCCGGCAGCGGCGGCAGTGGCAGCAGCAGCAGCAGGTGAGTAGCCAAACAGGGCAGAGCTGTAGCTGGGCCGCCGGCCCTCCCTCCGGTTACCATCAATGGCTGCCTGGAGCTCAGCTGGGGAGCTCAGGGCTTTCTTCTCACACTCATAGGCATATAGATATTTCATGTACCTATAGGGAAGAACAGAAGCAAGAACAATCCAAAACAGCATCCACACCTCCCTGTTTAGGTGACAAGTCTCTAGAAGCCATCTCTGTTGGGCAGCCTCTAGGGTATGTTTGGTGTGCTTAGCAGAAGAGTCCACGTGACTGGACACTATGGCCCAGCTCCTCTAACTGCTACTTGGTCCAAAACATTGCTCAAATCTGAAGCATTGTTCATTAAGGAAAATAAGTAACATCTTAGTTGACATCGTCACATTTGTTTTAGTGGCTTTTCAGTGCCCTGGGAGAAGTTAGGCCCACATTTTGGGATGTCTTCCTGGCTCCTTGATCCCTTAACCATTCCAAGTTAGGCTGATCAGAGGAACAATTCTTTCCACTGTGCATGGTACTTAGCTGTGCTGTCCTACTTTGTGTTATATGCCCCAAGAAACGGGTTTTTACCCGAGAACCCTGCTATTCTGGTTATAGCCCTGCCCCCAACCTCTGCTAGAACAGTTTCAATGGCTAAAACCCTTCTCAGATGGTGCCTGTAGCTCAGTGGTTACAGCGCCAGCCAAATACACTATGCTGGAGGGTTCGAATCCGGTCCAGGCCAGCTAAAACAATGACAACTGCAACAAAAAAAATAGCTGGGCATTGTGGTGGGCATCTATAGTCCCAGCTACTTAGGAGGCTGAGGGAAAAGAATCGGTTAAGCCCCAGAGTTTGAGGTTGCTGTGAGCTGTGACACCACAGCACTCTACCTAGGACAACAACTTGAGACTGTGTCTCCAAATATAGATAAATAAACAAAACCCTTTTGCTTTTCAATAAGGCCACAACATGCTACTTAATGGATATGTTAGCTATTCATTCCACATTCTTCACAGAGCAACTTCCAGAACATGCCAGAAAAGTAGATTCCCCTCTGGCCCTCATTCTTCAGTGCTACTTTGCTTTCATGCTTCCATCACCTTTGTAATTAACTCAAATGATAACCAAAATAGGCTGTCAATCCCATGGGACAGTCTGCTTGCCCTCCTCTGGGTCCTCTGCTGCTGGGCAAGAGGAACGTCAGGTAAGTAAGGCCTCTCACGCTAGAGGTCAGTTTGGACAATGATGTACTAGAAAGAGCACTGACTTCAGAGATGGAAGCCCAGCTCTGAATCTCAGCTCTTCTACTTACAGCTTGGAATGGCCTTGGCCAAGTTATTTATTTAACCTTGAAGACACATGTAAGAACCTTACAGGGTTGAGTGTGAAGTTTAAAGGAAACAGAATGATGAAGTGCCAGCAAGTGGGAGGCACTAGGAAAATGGCAGCTCTCATCATTACTTGGTCTGGGGATGGATGCATCTCAGAAAGCTCCCCACTGTTTGTCTTGCTATCTGTACAATGGAATTTCCTTCCTTCCTCTCCTTTACGCTAACATATCCCCTTTCTCCAGCCTTAACTTCCTCCCCCCAGGCCTGGCCACTTACTGGGTCCTGAGGGTGAAGGCGGCACTGGTGATGGACGTGGGCAGGTTCAGGCCTTTGGTGATCTCCCTCCAGATCTTCTTGTTGATGATCTCCACCAAGCCCCCCTTCTCGGTCACCAGCTTATACAGCATGTACAGGTCCAGGATCTGCTTGGCCATAATGGGGATTCGGTTGATGGGGGTCCCTGTGGTTGCCCAACAAGAGAAATAGAGGATTGTGTCATCACTGAGCTGAGAAAGAAGGCATCTGTTTGCGGTCACCTTTGGCTGAGTGGAAATAATGCTCATGAATCTGCTTAGAAGTTTAATTTGATGCCAGCTCCCCAAACCTGAAGGCTATCAAATAGCTGTCAGTTCCTTGGGGAATGCGTGGAAGGACAAGTCCACCTCACAGCCTGTGTGTGGCCTTTGGCAAAACACTTAAGTCCTTCTGGTCCTGCTTTCCCATCTATAAATAAGAGGGCTGGACTAGATGATTTCAAAGATGGGCTTTTGTTTGATCCTAACAGTATAATTCCAGACTATTTCCCAATGATCTGGCAACTCACTCTCCTCTGGAGCCTTCAGACTTTGTGCAGTGCCTGCCTCCTCTAGGAAGCTGGACTCCCTAGGAGGGGAGGCGCTCCTTGCCTTGTCCGTCACCCAACTGGACAGCCCCCAGGCTGCTTACTGGTAGTGCTCAGTCGAGTTTCTAACAGTGCTCACTTGCATCCCACCTGTTCTCCCACTCCTACTGCAGGATGCAGAAATGGTGTCTTTATCTCTGGTGGGCCCTGACATGTCAAAGGAGCTGCTGGACACACTGGTCTCCAAGGGAATGAAAAGCCACTCAAAGATTCTCTCCCCACTAATCACGCCATCCCCTCCTTGGCCTCTGAGGGAGGGAGGGTCAGAGCAGCTTCCGCCTACTGGCCCCAAGGGGAAGTGAGAGAAGCCAGGGACTTGATTAGGAAACCTGGCACCGACCAGGAAGGGCTACTAATGAGCACCAGGGGACACAGGGAGGGCGGGGCCGGGCCTTTCACAGCCGGCTGGGATGTCTGTCAGGAGGCATGATGGATGACTGTCATTTGGCAGCCTCAGGATTAATGATCTGGAGGTCAGAGGGGAGAATTCCACAGGGAAGGGTCACCGTCCAGGGCAGGGTATGAGACTTGTTGCCTTTTGATGGCAACTCCTTTTACTGTACACAGGCTGCTGCTCTTCTGTCTCCCCCCTTCCTGCTGAGGCCTCACCAGCTGCCTGGCAGACATGAGGCCAGCCTGAGCAGAGAAGAGCTGCTTGTTTCTGCTTTTCCTGCTTCCTTCCCCTTAAGGGATGGCAATCTTGCCAATTTACTTTTTCCCAATCTGTCACCCAGGCTGGAGTACAGTGTCATCATAGTTCACTGCATCCTTGAACTCCTGGGCTCAAATGATCCTTCTGCCTTACCATCCCAAGTAGGTGGGACTCAAGGCATGTACCACCACACCCAGCTGATTTTTTTTTTTTTTTTTTTTTGGAGACAGAGCCTCAAGCTGTCACCCTTGGTAGAGTGCTATAGCATCATAGCTTACAGCAACCTCAACTCTTGGGCTTAAGTGATTTTCTTGCCTCAGCCTCCCAAGTAACTGAGACTACAGGCACCTGTCACAACACTTGGCTATGTTTTGGTTGTAGTTGTTTTGGCAGGCTGGGGCTAGATTCAAACCTGCCAGCTCTGGTGTATGTAGCTGGGGCCTTAGCCACTTGAGCTATAGGTGCCGAGCCCACCTAGCTGATTTTTAAATTTTTTTGTAGAGTCAGGGGCTTGCTATGTTCCCAAGGCTGGTCTTGAACTCCTGGCCTCAAGCAATCTTCCCCTTCCAAAATGCTAGAATTATAGGCGTGAGCCACTGTACACGCTCCCCCATTTTTTGGAGTCAGGGTCTCCTTTGTCACCCAGGTGGAATGTAGTGGCATCATCATAGTTTACTACCACCTTGAATTCCTGGGCTCAAGGGATCCTCCTGTCTCCACCTCCCAAGTCAGTGGGAATACAGGCATAACCAGGCCTCTTTTCTAAGTGTGGGGAGGAGCTACTGATCTCCAGACTTTTGTCTTCACTAGCTAGTCTTTGGAGAATCAAAGACAAAGGCATTACTGAATTAAATCCACAAAGTCATACATAAAATATCAGTATCAAAGGGCCACTAGTATATTCCTAAAACACATAGCTCATGTGTTGGGTAACTTCTCCCTGTGCTGTTCTAGACAGTGAATCTTCCCCGCTACCATAAAGACAAAAAACCTGATGTGGCAGAATCAGGCCCCCAGCAGGATGGGATAATGTCCACCTCCTTTTGGAGGCCTGTCTGCCTAAGCATATCACAACCTTGGTGAGTCCATACCTTCCATGACATCACCTGAATAATCTAGGAGGACCACTCCCAAGGTTACTTGCACAGACCTGCTAAGCTCAAGTTTCCTGGGCATCTTCACATGTGTGACCTCTTCCTTTCCAAGTCACATTGGGCTCACCTTCACTTTCCTAAATTAGCTCCCCTTTCCCACCATTTCCATTTTGTTCCAGCAACACTATCATTCTCTGAGGCTACCCAGGAGCTTCAGCACTGGCACCTCTCCTCTCCTTGTCGCCCACTTTTAATTGTTAAGAAATTCCATGGATTCATCCTTTGGAGAATCCTTTCAAAGAATCTTCCTTTCTAGGCTATAGCCACTACCCTGGAGCAGGCCCTCATGGGCTCACATTAGTTGCCTGCAGCAGCCTAGCAGCCTCTCATCTGTAGTTCAACTTGCACACGGCAGCCAAACAGTCTTATTAAAATACTACTTCCAGTGGGTGGCACCTGTGGCTCAGTGAGTGGGGCGCTGGCCCCATATACCGAGGGTGGTGGGTTCAAACCTGGTCCTAGCCAAACTGCAATGAAAAAAAAAATAGCCAGGCGTTGTGGTGGGCACATGTAGTCCCAGCTACTCGGAAGGCTGAGGCAAGAGAATCGCTTAAGCCCAGGAGTTGAAGGTTGCTGTGAGCTGTGTGATGCTAGGGCACTCACTCTACCAAGGGCAACAAAGTGAGACTCTGTCTCCACAAAAACAAAAAACAAAAAACTACTTCTACCATATTGCTTGCTTTTTTATTTAAAAACCTACAAGGCTGGGGTGGCAACTGTGGCTCAAAAGGGTAGGGTGCCAACCCCATATGCCGGAGGTGGCGGGTTCAAATCCAGCCCCCATCAAAAAAAAAAAAAAAAAAAAAAAACCTACAAGGCTGGATGCAGTAATCCTAGCCAGTAATCCTAGCACTCTGGGAGGCTAAAGGAGGTAGATGATTGCCTGAGCTCAAGAGTTCGAGAGCAGCCTGAGCCAAAGCGAGACCCCCGTCTTAAAAAATAGCCAGGCATTGTGATGGGTGCCTGTAGTCCCAGATACTCAGGAGGCTGAGGCAAGAGAATTGCTTGAGCCCAAGAGTTTGAGGTTGTGATGTCACAGCATTCTACACAGGGTGACAAAGTGAGACTGTCTCAAGAAAGAAACCCCAAAAAACAAACCTACAAAGACTTTTTTTTTTTTTTTTTTAAGACGGAGCCTCAAGTTATCCCCCTGGGTAGAGTGCCATGGCATCACAGCTCACAGCAACCTCTAACTCCTGGGCTCAAGCGAGTCTCCTGCCTCAGCCTCCCAGGTAGCTGGGACTAAAGGTGCCCGCCACAACGTCCAGCCATTTTTTGGTTGCAGGCATCGTTGTTTGGCGGGCCTGGGCTGGGGATTCGAACCAGCCACCTTAGGTGTATGTGGCTGGCGCCTTAGCCGCTTGAGCCACAGGCACCGAGCCCAAAGACTCTTTTTACTGTGCACCTATCCCACCCTACATGTCCACAATGCTCTCTTAAAAGGCCATGCCGTATTTCCAGCATACCCCAGCAAGTCACTCTCTAGTTAATTGGGCCTTCTCCTTCCTACCTGACATGACCTGCCTCCACTCAAATCCCCCAGTGTCCTTCCATCTCTACTCTCCAGGAAGAATTTTCTAACTACTCCAGTTCATGTTTCTTTCCTCTCAGAATTTTTATCATACCTCTAAAAGTTCAGTAAACAATTGTTCTCTATTTGTTTCATGTATGTTCATTTGGTACCCTGGGACGACTGTTAGCTCTATTAAGGCAGAAACTGTCTTTCCTTCACCACACCATGAATATTACAGTGTTTAATAAATTAACCTACCATGCAGATTAAAAAAATTTTTCAGATGGCTCAGCACCTGTGGCTCAGTGGTTAGGGCACCACCCACATACACTGGAGCTGGCAGGTTCGAACCGAACCCGGGCCTGTCAAACAACAATGACAACTACAACAAAAAAATAGCCAAGCATTACGCAAGTGCCTGTAGCCCCAGCTACTTGGGAGGCTGAGGCAAGACAATCACTTAAGCCCTAAAGTTTGAGGTTTCTGTGAGCTTGTGACACTACGGCACTCTACTAAGAGTGACATAGTGAGACTCTGTCTCAAAAAAAATAAATCCTCAGAATCAAAGCAAATAGCTCTGTGGTAACTCAATTGGGAGTCTTTTATTTAAGTTGTGTTCTTTCTTTTTTTTTTTTTTTTGAGACAGAGCCTCAAGCTGTCCCTCTGGGTAGAGTGCCGTGGCATTACAGCTCATAGCAACCTCCAACTCCTGGGCTCAAGCGAGTCTCCTGTCTCCGCCTCCCAAGTAGCTGGGACCACAGGCGCCCGCCACAACGCCCAGCTATTTTTGGTTGCAGCCGTCATTGTTGTTTGGCGGGACGGGCTGGGGATTCGAACCCGCCACCTTAGGTGTACGTGGCTGGCGCCTTAGCCAGTTGAGCCATAGGCGCCGAGCCAGTTGCGTTCTTTCTTTTCTTTCTTTCTTTTTTTTTTTTTTTAAAGAGATGAGATCTTGCTCTGTTGCCCAGGCTTGACTCAAACTCCTGAGCTCAAAAGATCCTTTTACCTCAGGCTTCTGAGTAAGTGGGACCTCGGGTGTACACCACTGTACCTGGCTCAACTGGGGATCTCAAATACATTTGCTTCCTGCCTGCCTGTTGTGTGCCTGCTAAGAGCCTCACTAACTGTACAGGTCTAATGCTGTTAGCCACCCCCTCCCCCAACAGAAGTCACCTCCTCTCAGGTCCTAGCATGGGTCATTAGGGTCATGACTCTTATTAACCAGATAGGGAAACTGAGA